AAAAAAAAAAAAAAAAAAAAAATCACAAAAATATCTCAAAAATATCTCAAGTTAGTAAAAATACTCTTAAATTTTTTAATATGGTTCAAAAATATTCTTCAACTTTAAAAATATAATATAATTTTAAAAAAAATTCTTAATATAAATACAAATAAAGTAGTACTAAAATAAAATTAAAATATTACGTAAATTTTAACGACAGCTGGCATAAGAGAAAATTGAATCGATAAATAAGACAGATATAAATAGCAAGGTGAAAGCACGGAGCTTCTCTTCTTTTTGCCTGATCTAACCATTTCAACTCCCTCGTGGGAATCTCTGAGCTCTGATAGATCATAGTCTCTGCTTCTCTGTTTCTCTCCACAAGATATAACCATCGGAAACAATGGCGTCGTCGACGGCTAGGATTACGTTTCGCGTTGTCATGGTGGTGATCCTCCTCCTCGTCGTTTTCTATGTCGGTCGTCCTCTGTACTGGAAGATTTCCGCAACTGTACATGATATTCGCCAGAACAAACAGACCGTCAAAGAAGGTGCGTTAATTGAATGATAAATATGTATGTTTATGTTTGTCTGAGCTTTGAATGGAGTTTGAATTCTTCGTTATGGACATGCATTTCAGGTCTCTCTCAGATCGTTCTGGAAGCTCAGAAATCGGTGGGATGGTACCACGACGAATCGGACTCTGGCGTCCGTGAAGGAAATGATGGAAAGAATTCCGGATCGGGTGCTATTCGGAGGCTGCTTCATCAGGTTTTGTGAAAATCTCAGTTATTTGAATTGTGATTAGTTCGGGATAATTGAATGGTTTCATATGCATTAGTGAAGTTCAATAAGCGGATCTGATTTTTTTTTTTTTTCTCGTAATAACGTAATAACGTGTTAATTAGCACCTACTGAGTCGATTTAGTTAAAGAAGGCTAAGAAAGGCTAAGAAAGGAAAAGAAATCGTAATGCTTCAACGTTCAGCCTTTAATGTTTCCATTATGCACTGTTAGTCACTCGGATATGTGGATAGTGATATTCGTACCTGAGACATGGTGAACTACTGCTTACGAAAGACTCGTTCTGACAAGAAATTAGATAGTGTTAGTTTATAATGAGCGAAGTTGGCTGATATTGTGAATGAGAAATTTTAGTTTAAGACTGAATATTAGGTAGAGGTGGAAATGTGTACATAGGATGATAAGAACTAAAGATAGCAGTAGTCTTTTGTGATGGTTTGTGTGCAAATTTGGCATTCTGGTGCTGAAGGAGCAATTTCAAACAAAATCAACTAATTGAAGTATAACGGAGAAGGCTTCAATAAGAAAATTGTAGAAAACGATCGATACCTTTGAACTTGTCTAGATAGAACTACGACTTGGTGGATCTGTAGTTGACCATGAAAACAAAGCCATAATGCCCTACTGTCTTGGTAATCATATTTCTTTGCTCTTTATTTATTTATTTTTTTTTTAATTTTTTATTCATAAGCTCAAATGCGGAAAATATCATAAATCTCACTTGGCAATAAGTTACTGTCCATGTGCAAAAATAATCTGTCCCTGTTGTCTGACTTGTGGTAACTTCTAATTATGAAATTAGTAGTTACCTTTCCGCCAGGTCTTTGAATCAACTTATATACCTATCTCTTCTCGTCCTCATAACCATGAGAAGGGAGATGAGAAAGGAATTTCTGCAGAATGTTTGAGCTAATACATATGGCAATCATGTCTACAAACATGACAGTCTATGTAGTGTTCTGTAGGAACGTACCCACGAAATTAATTGTACTGAGTCTAGACTCTTTTCCCCAATCAAGTTAGAAAGAAACCTCTGACCCGAGACTTTATTCATCTTATGATCTTTCTTAGTTAATCAACCTTGTACAATGATAAAGGGTGACTAATATTTCAGAATTTGGATTTTGAATGAGCGAGCAAGCTATAATATCTTGGTTTCTAGGGGAATTGGAAACATTTGACCATTTTTAGTAGTCTGAAGTCTGAATTGTTTGAGCTGAACAGATCTGAATCTTTGCATAGTATTGTTCCCCTCTAAGATGACTAAATCTCACGGACCTCCATGAAAGGACTGCCGCCTAGACTATGATGGATTTCTGAATTCTAACTTGATATTAAACATTATAACATAATGTAATGGAAGCTCAATTTTCTCCATCCTACTTGATAAAAATTTCAAACCAGTGGAGATTTTAAACTTTTTGCAGTTCCTGCAATCCGTCTTTCTTAATAATAACACAAAATAATCCTAAATGTGCTAACATACATCATGAACTCTCAACCAGATTGTTTGTCATGTTGTGGAAAACTTGGAACGAAGTTTTGCCTTGTTGAACAATATTGCTTGAGAAAAAATATTAAGAAGAAAGATAGAATTTTGCAGCCTTGCTTGATGTTATAATCTGCTACTTCAAACATCACCTTCAATAAAATCTTTTCCATGTAACTGAAGATACATCTTGTTTTGTTTTACTCGAGTTTTTAGAACGTTTGTGCTAAATTAGGAGTAGGAGAAGCCAAGTGGAAGGGGGAAAAGGAGTGGTTTAAAGTGTGCTAGAAATATTTCTTTGCAATGCTCACTAAGATGCACAAATGCTAAGTATCCGTTCATAGACTTGGTGTTTATTTTTAATCCAAATTCATTGATAATTCTCAAACTTCCACCTAAATCGTCAAGTATATCTGACACCGAGGTGTCATATGGAAACTCTTTACAAGAATCCATTACAATGCTCAACCATCCAAGAATTTCACCTTCCTCCTTAAGGGGAAGGTTACACTCTTCAAGATTAAAATCCTTTTTTCAGATGAATTATCATAATCTTTCTCCAAAGAGGGGCAGGAAATGTGCATCCTCTCGCTCTCTCAAGGTATAAATCATTTTTCTTTTACCAGGGCTCATCAACTTGCTTAGGTTAGTCTCTGATCTAGTATTAATGTTCACTATTGGGATTACATAGTTGAAAATTATGTCTGTATCCGCACATTTGGTATGACACCCTGTAAAACCGGCCGTAGAAAACCTCTCCCAATTGTCTAATCAATGTGGAAAAGGCACACTCGGACACACGTGGTAGAGCTTTTACTTACCTTTAAAATCAACTTGAAAAAGAGAGTCCTCAAATATTTATAAAAAGCCAGGTTTTGTTGTTCACAATGTGGAACTCCATTGGAATCTTTAAATACAACCTTCTTTTAACATTGACGTCACAAAAGAAAGTGGCATGGTTTAGAAAATACTTCCTCGCTCCTATCCAAAGAAAATACCTCCTCACGCATTAAACTTTCATAGAGATCTCATCAAACCGAAGAACAATAATGTCACAAGACCCCAAGAAAATGGAAAAACGACACTCCCATCAACTGTGGCTCTAGGAAGTATTCTCTCGCATTCGACTTAGAATATCAATTCTGTTGTAGGGATTGACCCACCAGCAGCCACAATTTGTTGCTCCATCTGCAATTAACAATTTAAGGTATAAATCCTTTGAAATTATGAAGGATCTGCTAGTTTTTTTAACAACAGTCTATGTACTGTTTTGTCTGTCCTTGTACATTTTTTTTTCGTTTCTCTCAATGCTCAGTTTCTTACCCAAAATAATAATAATAATAATAACAGTCTTGTGTACTGACCCTGAATAGATTTTCAAGCTTGTTTTTCACGAGGCAGATCTCTTGCTTTAATTGTTGTAGACATCTCAGGCACCTGCACCCACAATTTTCATTGTTTTCATAAGCTGATTTTATTCACTATCGCACATATGTTGCAGGAGCTTATCTAGAAAAACTTTTTTGTTTTACTAACTCTAGGGCCAAAATAATGATTAAAAAGAAAGTTTGATAATAATGAAAGTATTTCATGGTAAAACATTGAGGTTTTAAATGTTAAAAAACCCAAGTAGAAAGTAGATAAAAGCTCTTGTTTCCAAGAACGAACTTCAAAAATTTAGGGACCTAGGTAAAATTCAAGAATCAAAACCCTACTTGAACATAAGCATCATCATATGAACCCAGCTTAGCCTTTAGTAAATAAGAACTCACCCTTCAATGTTCTGTTCCTCACAGAAGCTGCGCATGGTAATACAGACATTTTTAACTCTCTGTGCACCTATGCTGTCAATCACAAAAGTTCGTTCAGTTGATTTTCGGTTCTAAAATTGATCATCTTTTTTAGAGAATTATTTAGTTCTCTTTTAGAATTGGAACATAGATCTGAGAGAGAGCCCATCAGGAGCTGCAAATGAAAACTTTATTCACCTTATGCTTTAAGTTATGGGGGGGGGGGGGGG